GGGTTTGGCCAGTTTTAAGTCTGGCCAACGCATTAGGAAGCCGTAAAACCAGTGGTCGCTGAGTGGTTTGTCAATAATCTTTGCAGTGCAACACGAAACTGCAAACTGTCCTACAGTATACCGAATTTTGGCTTTTGTATAGCCATATCCAATGTACTTCACATGATCAACAAGTTCTTGTTCTTGTTTGGTCGGGAACATTCTGTTGGGACCCGGTTGCGCATCTTCAACGGCTACGTTTCCTCTTGTTCTATCCCGGAAGGTTGACTCGGGTATACCATACCGCCTACACGTTTTATACACTGACATTCCTCCTTGTGTTGCACAGAATGCACTGACCAAGCTGACTGGATTATACTGCTGTCTAGTAGAGTTTTGTAAGTTCGGCTGATTGCAGAATAGTTGCTGCATTGCTTTTGCAGATTTGAAATCCTAAATAAAAAGGAAAGATAAGAAAAGTCTAGTCCAATTTGAAATGGTAGGGCGATAGTAGAGTCTTAGATACGTACGTGGCCGTATATGGTTACCATTAACGTGTTTTGACCATTTTCACTCGTACCCCAATCAAAATCGTCAGATTTTACCACAAAACAGTCTTCAAACTGCATTATGAGCCCCTGTAGGCTTCATTGGGAATACGAAATACAAAAAGTGATGGTTAGGTTTACATACCTTCGAGAAGAAAAGAGAAATTTCACCTTCACTTCGGAAACCGAGCCTCACCAAGCTGTCGTGACGGTAAAACCCATCTGGAATGTTGTTGTTGTTGTTGTTGTAGAACATTGATGTTGATTCAAATTGTGAGGTCAAACTAATGACGCACGACGCGCCGGCCAAGCGCACGCCCGCATTCACAGTCAGGCATATCGTGTGTGCACGTGTACAACGTTGACTGTTTCCTGAACGGCGCAGCCTGCACATATCGCATAACCGTGTATGCGATATGTGCAGGCTGCGCATGTGTAGTTAGGGGCGATTGTGTAGTTAGGGGCCTCACTTTAACGTTGGTCCAATTCAAGTCAGTGGTGTTTTTTTACCATTTTAAAATGACTTTATCAATGTCTACTATTCAACTCTACGATACACGTTTTAGAACTTTTAAAAGCGTTATAGAAAATTGATTTGTCCACATGTTTTGGAAACTGTATATAGGAACAAGACCCAGCACCAGCAGCAGCCCAAGACAGACTCGGCAAACAAAGAGACCTACGTGTAGTGTCCATACAAAACATTCCAAGAAAAGTTTTCCAACGGATGATGAAAGTTTCGTAATGGTAATAATGCGTGGACATGGTGGACAGGAGAATGCATGAGAACGGAGCCAAGTGTTCCACCCACCTGTATGCATCTGGCAAGCGATCATTGTGCCAAACAACCATGTTCATCTGCCAAACAAAACAACAGATATGTCGTTCAGAAGAAAGTTAAAGAAGTTAAAGCTTAAAACCATGGCGGATAGGAACAAATCTGTAATGGTAACAACTGGGAAGAACAAGGTCATCCAATACATGGAACAAGGAAATGTAGCATTCAAGCTTCTTGTAAAGTCTCAGTCAGAGGGTATAGTATAGGCTGTTATGTACTTTTGCAATTTTTTGCTAAAGAAGGAATATTTGTCATACTTAGATAGAGTTTACCTTCCTAAGCCAAAAATCCACTGGTAACATTTTTTTCCATCTACCATGTGGCGGCCATCTTGGATTTTGAAATGGCCGCCATTTCGGACCTAATGTGTAGCTTAACTTCTGACCTGATTGTCACATGAAGTCCATTTTGGTGGCAACCCTATGTTTTTGATACCAAGGAACCCAAGTAAGGTGTTGTTGAAGGGGTACTCCCAATGGATGGCAGCCATCTTGGATATTTCAAAATGGCCGCCATTTAGTACCTAATTTGTATCATAACTTCGGACCTGATTGTCATATGAAGTCCATTTTGGTGGCAAACCCTATATTTTTGATACCAAGGAACTCAAGTGACATGCACTGTAACGTGCTCAATTGTCCGCCGCATTTTCCCGGAGAATCCAGCACGCCGGAGAAGTGAGAACGTGACAACGGGTGCTAGCCGCCCAGCATACTTCGCGCATGTACTCCGTCGTGGCGGTCACGTGAATGTTGGCATATATTTTTCATCGGGTAATGTTGACACATATTTTTGGACGAAATGTTGACACGTATTTTAGGTGAACTTTGTCGCAGGATGGGTTGACACATATATTTGTCAACAAGTAGTAGGTAGTTTTTGCAATGTTGACATGTAATTTCTAGTTATTTAATCAGAACAAATATTTTTTTTTAATGTTGACATTTGTAAAAAAAATGTTGACATATTTTTTAAATGTTGACATATTTTTTAAATGTTGACATTCCTTTTTTGAAATGTTGACATTTTTTTTAAATGTTGACGTACGTTTTTGAAATGTTGACATATTGTTAACAATGTTGACATTTTTTAAAATGTTGAATTTTTTTTTTAAATGTTGACATTTTTTAAATGTTGACATACGTTTTTGAATTGTTGACATTGTTTACAATGTTGACATATTTTTCAAATGTTGACATTCGTTTTTGAAATGTTGACATATTTACAATGTTGAAACATTTTTTTAAAATGTTGACATATATTTTTAATGTTGACATAAGTTTTTGAAATGTTGACATATTTTTTGAATGTTGACATACTTTTTGAAATGTTGACAAATTTTTAAAATGTTGACATACGTTTTTGAAATGTTGGCATATTTTTTAAATGTTGACATTATTTTTTACAATGTTGACAAACGTTTTTGAAATGTTGACATATTTACAATGTTGAAACATTTTTTTAAAAATGTTGACATATATTTTTTAATGTTGACATAAGTTTTTGAAATGTTGACATATTTTTTGAATGTTGACATACTTTTTGAAATGTTGACAAATTTTTAAATTGTTGACATACGTTTTTGAAATGTTGACATATTGTTTTTAATGTGGACATATTGTTTACAATGTTGACATTATTTTTTACAATGTTGACATATTCTTTAAAATGTTGACATATTTTTAAAATGTTGACATATTTTACAATGTTGACATGCTTTTCAAAAAAGTGCAGGGCTGAATAAATCTCGCTTTGGCGTGCCATAGTCAGTCATAGTGTTTGCAATATTACTGAGGATGGTCTTTTTCAACCCTGGTTGTTTACAAGAAGTTGCGACACTATCAATTGACGCATTGATTGATTCAACGTAGGACTCTGCATCACCACGTGCTATTTCTTTTATGCCCACATTGAATGTATCTGTTGCAGTAGCAATCTGTACTTCACTGAAGTGACGTAGTTTTTTTGCTGGTTTTTGATCTGATTCAAATCACTATGAAGATTGAGCCATTGTTGCAGTAGCCGGTTTGGTGTGTTGGCATTATTACCATTTTTACATCCTCGGGTTTGTTACCATAACATTACCAGCACATTTTAAAACAGTGCAACGTAAATGAGAGTCATTCTAGCACAGAATCAAATTATAAATCACTATTAAATCAATAGACATCGTCACACTGTGACACAGGCGATCCAAATGGTTGATGGGTTTCCGATCGTAGTCATGAGTACCCGGTCCGCAATAATTGTAACCCCACAGGTGAGCGGCAAAAGGGATAAAGGGTTTATTACACTTGGGCAGGTTCTGGAACAACGGTAGATTCCCCGGCGGATTGTCTTCGTGCCAAGGATTGGCCCAGAGAGTCCGAGAGCGTCCGACAGTACGTCAGCTCACACCGACGGAGAACAGCATACTGGTACCAGCAAGGGAGCAGCATTGCAAATAGAATCAAGCATGCGAGAATGAAGCACCACCAGAACCAACCCCAGAGGCAGATCGCACAGTCCTCGCAGCACGACGTTTTCTGGGCTGCCACAGCTTTCAGATGGCGTAGATCCTCCACCCACGAGGAGTACAACGTTGATCAAACACTGCAGACATATAAAATACACATTGGCCAGCCTCATAGAGTAAAAAATTCAATTGTAACAGAGCAACGACAACTAACACGTCTTTACAGTATGCAACCATAGTGGTAAATGCGTAAAGCCTCAGCGTCATGGACTGTTCAATGGCTAAACGCTATAGTCACTTTATTAACAAAAACAACACTTCATGTATACGGTCATTGGACATGACTGACCCTAGGACTCGCGTTCATTTATCCCTTTTTTCTAAACACTCTTAAACCTCAGGTTGAGCTACAGGTCAGGTTAATCTAATACATTACAGTTCAGAATGTTCGTAATTGTAGGGGGAGGCAACGTCCCCGGGGGCAGAGACCTGTTGAGACCTCTCACGTTCCGACACGGTGGTAGAGTGAGAACTAGCAAAGAAACTGTCGGAGTCCAAATCGGGGGTGGGGGCATCTTGTTGGCTCCGTCTTCTTCGCTGGATGACCAAAGATTAATAATGGAAGCACTGGATCTGCACTCATCGATGACTAGAGGCAGGACCAGTTTGATGTCCGGTAGAGACGATTGGGGGAGGAATCCGTGTTCGAACGTGGCAACTGGTAGTTTCAGCGGAGCTACCCGGGAACGTCTGTGGCTGACAGGTAGGCTCGACGACTTGCTCGTTGCCGATCGTTGCACGCTCAGGGGAGGGCTTGGACTCCTCGGCGGGACAACTTGCAGAGATGAAACGGTTGAGCATTGTCGTTCCTCGACGGTGCTACCTCGGGAGCTGCTTCTCTCGCTGTTTGCTTCGGTGTCAATGATTTGGCGCAAATGGCGCCAAACCAGAGGGTGGCACCTTCTTGAATAGTTTGCCAGGAGTAGAAAGGCCTTCAGATTTTCACAGATGATGCATCTATTGCAGATAGCATCCTTCTCAGATGGCGCGAACCTCCAGAGATCGTGGTTTGATGTGGCGAAGACCGGTGTCCTAAATAAGAAGGCTTCGGCTTGGTGTTTACAGGCACCATCGCTTTCTGCCCCTCGAGGATTATCTTGGCCTTTTCGATCACACAGGGATCGAAGTAGGGTTCATTCAGGACAATCATGCGTTTGTCGACGCATCCTTGCCACATAAATGAATACCCCCCGATCCCTGTGAGATCTCTCCCACATGAACGGCGAGGTCTGCAAGACTGTTGACCAGCCACGTCTTCCCTGCGTTGCTCTGTCCGACGAGGGCGAGGCAATTACGTTTCGCTTCCGATCTGTCAAAAGAGAACAAGGAAAAGAATGGGTAAGGTTTAGAAAAAGGAAAATAGACAGACATAGCATAATATAGCTAGGGCACTCACCTGTTCATGACCTTCTCCACATCGTCGACAAGGAAGCTTAGAAGAATCCCTTGAAACAAGCACCAATGGCTGATGATGTACGCACTCTCCTCAACCGTGTGATAACGAGCGTCGTCTACGTCATTTGCTTGTTCCCAAGTAGCCGTCAGGGTCTCGAGGTCATTGTCGAGGGAACTCCAATTTGCCGCGAAGTACATCTTTTCTATTCTCTGTAGAACAAAAGAAAGAAAATCAAAAACCTAAACAAAGTCCGCAATATTTAACACAAACACACGCGAAACAATACTTACCAATCAGCATGGAGAAAAAAACAAAGATCAATATTAAAAAAGACATGCAAGGAGACTTTTAAAAAATATGAAAGAGGAGTGTGAAGCCAGGTTGCGATTTCTTGAATTATGGGGGTTGAAGTCAGACATACATCTGTCAAAGATGCAAGAGGTGGACTGCAAAACATTTCTCTGATACAAGACATAAAAGAGGAATTGTGTGACATGCCCGAGTTGTTAAAGGATCAGTCTTGCCATTTTAGTGAAAGATGCCCATTGCATCTCTGATGAGACTTGAAACTCAATTGCTTGTAAAAGCGATCTCCCAAATCTCACACAGTTGAAAAGCCAAATGCCACAAAGTGAGACAGAAATCCCTTTGTCAAAGACAAAACAAATCTAAACCAGGAGTTCAAACCAAACCAACATTCACACCAGACTAGGAATGCAGTAGGAAAATATATATGTCCTCCTAGACCCCGAACCAGAGCAGGTAAAAAATATTTTCATTCTGTTGGGACACAGGTTTGGAACAACTTGGCACCTAATATAAATCGGGATTAATGTTTCATTTTAAATCTGTTCATCTATACATCGTCTGTTTTAATCTAGGGTTTTAATTTTGTGTGATTTTAATTGCTTGGGTAATTTTGTGTGGTTATAATTGCTTGGGTTATACATCGTCTGTTGTAATTTAGGGTTTTAATTTTGCGTGGTTTTAACTCCTTGGATTATTTTTTGTAATGTATTCATTATATCTTTTATTATGTTTTGGTAATTTTTGTCGTTATTATACTATGTTTTTATGTAATCCAGGGCCCCCAGGGAGAACAGTTCATTGACAACTGATGGGGCTACCCTGGTAAAATAACACGAAATAAATAAATAAATAAGAAAGAAACAGAGCATCTTGTGAGTAATTTCCTAGCTACATGTACAGTGTATGTCTTTGGTATTTGCTATTGGTTTTTGGTGGATTCAGGTTACCTTCTGGTAAAAGTACCTAAGGAGTTAGGGTTTTTATGAATGAGGAACAAGTTTTAACAACATTTTTTAGTAATGATTGGGATTTTGTGTTTTCTATGCAACAGAACAGAAATTCAGCAATGCAAACGTAGTCAATCTTACCTTTGAGGCCCTGCAAAATTGATCAAGTCGGAGTGGCTTTTTAGGCCAAGCCTGCTGGCCGTCACACCTAGGTGCCTATAATGCAGGTTCCCTGATGTTATGGCTACACTGATGCTCCCAAACTTCATCGTTTCATATTCACAGAAAGCTTCCAGGAGTGTTCCTGTGAAAGACAAAGGTCAGTGGTTCAAACAGTTTGTGATATAAAAGGCCAAGGCTCTGATCGTCAAGGTCCATGCTTAAACCTCGGGGCCGATGCTTTACCCTCAATTGAAGGCCAAGGCAAGACCCTGTTATATAAAATACAATTGGCCTACAAGCAATCAAGCATTTTCAATGTATATTGGCTGCCTACATGTATCAAAATGTATCAAAACAGTATCAAAATAGTATCAAAATACTGGCTCATGTCTTCAGGAATTCCACTTTCTTATTAAATATGATCTGTCTACTGTGAAAAAATAAGTCAACCTACGTTATATGTTCGGAGTTTGTTGATAGGAATGGAGTACATTCCATCAAAAAACTCTTTAAGAGTGCATATGGAGCCCTCAACAATGTATCTTGCTTAATAGCGCAACACGCGGAGTGCGGTATAGGCAGTGGTCGTGCTACATGGTTATATGTAGCACGGCTTGTTGCCATGGATCGACCTATCATGATCGAGGATTCAAGTTTACTTGAAGATGTAGTACGCTCTAGGCAGTTCAATCATAATGCTACCTCTGGTATCCTTACCAGCCAAATAATGAACAAACAGAATATTCTCTGCATACCAGTCGCTATATAGATTTATCTGCAAGCAAACATTAATCATCGATTCTGATTAGTAGATCCATGCCAACAACAGTGGATATTTTACTGTATCGCACGGTCCATAATTATAGCACCCTGCGTAAATGTGCTGTTCTAACTCTGTGCGTTGCACCATTCCAAAATGCGAGTGACAAACCACCTGCATGTGCCAAAAAGAAACCTGAAAGGTTCTTGTAAGCGTGCTAGTTCCAGCAACACTGTGCGTCAAATTTGCTTGAAGATATTTTTGTGGTATGTGGTACACAGGTGCACTACATATTTCTGTGTTCCACTTGTGCTTGCGAGTTCGGAAAACTAATTGTGCATTAACTAGCATTTACTCCTCGCTCGTGACTTTCGCAGATCGATAAGCAGTGGCTGAAGCACAGAGTCATTTATGATCGCCAATAATTCGTCAATGATGCGGTGACTACAGTAGTTAGTGTTGCTGTTAACCTTAAATAAATGTTTTTAAAAAAGTTAACAAAATAATAACAAGAAAAAAAATCAGTGTAAAGAGCCACCAAAAATGAGACATGACAGGAAGAACTAAACATGTTGCGTATTTACCCTATGAGCTTCGAAGTACTTGCATCCGCAATCCTCCTTCAATACAAGGAATCCTTTGTAGTTGGTACGATGTGGTACCTGTTGCCGCAACATCTGGTACATCAGCCGAAAACACCCCTCCCATGCCCGGTGTTCAATGTCGGCTCTTTCGCCAACTATCTTAGGTAGTGTTTTGCCTGATGTTTGAAATCATAAAGTGTTTGTAAGTGCACATAAATGATAATAAGGTAGATATTATTGTAGACTTTGTAAGGGAAGTCAGCAAAATTAGAAATTGATTTTAGGTACCTGTTCTTAGCGTCTACTCCTTTTAAATGCATGAGATGTGGCAGCTGCTCTTTTCATGTCGGGATACATTATCCAAACGGTAGTTGGTAGATGGTTCATATACAAATGGATGAGCTTGTGCTGCCCCAACAAGATGCTTCCTGCAAGCAGTGCATACCATGCCAGCAGAGGTACGCAGGAACCACTGGTAGGTCTCCATCCATTTAGGGTCAAACCCAGACGCTCTGTGCTTGCCTACGTCTTTTTTGAATAAAATTAAGAAGAAAAAAAAGGGCATGTATTTGTTCCACTACCAAGGAAAAAACTTTTGGTTAACACATAGGCAGGAGTATTCAGAAGGCCAAGAATTATTAAGTTTTTTGTGAATAAGTTTTGCATAGTTTTTTTTACTTGTTGTTCATTCTCTTTCCGGATTAAGTTTATAATTTTTGTAATTAGTATTTCATCATGCACTTTATTTATAAAGACAATGCAGATATAGAATACCTTCTTTTTGCTTGGTGATTCACTGCAACTACTATTCACGAGATCTTTCACAGTACTAGTACTCGTACTTGCATTGGACTCTGAGGAAGTACAATCATCTGGCTTCTCCTCATTATCAGCTGGCCTGCATTATTGGAATTGTTATGAAAAGTCTTAAAAATTGTTTAGATGTTAATTAATTGAAATAAATGAGTATATGACAGATATTTTAAAATTGTAGTTGATTATGCCGGATAAACTGGGAAAAACTGAATCCTAATTTTGAAAAGAAAAAAAAAGTTTAGGCCTAGATTTAAGGATTGCTTTCTGATTTTTTCCAAACATTCCCAATGAACTATGAATTGCGCTATGAAAATTAAAATGTTCTTGCTGCTACATTGCTAGGACTGGTAAGATTGTTTCATCATTCGTGGATATCCAATATATATATTTATAATTATATTATATAAAGCCCCTGCCTATTAACTATAAGTATTAATATCAATTACTGATAACAATTTTTTTTAATCCTACATATTTATTTGTGAAAATAAATCACCAGGTGTTTGCAAATTTGGCATCAGTATAAAATTACAAATTAGAATAATACATTAGTAAAAAAGAAGAAGAAACAAATCTATATATTAAATGTAGGTTAGGGATTTTTAAAAATTTTAAAAAGAAATTCTGCAGATTTATTTGTTGAAATCTACTAGTTTACCACAAGTAATATTTGGTTCTTACCGTTGAACACCTCTCTTAAAAAATGATGTCAAGTACTGTTGCGCCATATTTACTTTACGCAGTCATTTCATTGCTCGAAAGTTATTGTCAAGTGCAAGGTTCCATTCAGGCGAGCTTGGCAGGCTGAGCAGGGTACCAGGTCATGCATAATGTTGGCCTTTGTCAAAAGGCCAACATTATGCATGACCTGGTGGTTGTTATTAATCCCGGGGCCTAGTTGTTATTAATCCCGGGGCCGTAGCGCGGTAAACGATATCCTCGCTAGCTATGCATGCAGTGCTAAGTACAGCGCGAACAGCGACCTCACGCGGCCACCATTTCCATGCAAATCAGTTGGACCCAATCTAGTGCCTTGGTTCAATCATCGGCAAAAGCTTATGTTTTTCTTTATTTTGCGCTGGATTTCTAGCGCACGACCTTGTATGCAAATACAGATAAGTGTAGAATGGCTAATATGTGGAGTGTCCAATCACACCTTGGTAAATCCGATCGTCATCAAATTATTTGCAGCCATTCGCCTTTTGCGTACGTGACAGGAACCAATGTTTTTGTGCACTGGTGCCATGTGCAGAGACACACAACGTGTACGTGTATGGATCATGTACTGTGCCACGTTTCACTCTGCAAGTTTCCACGCAACGATCGACCAATAAGAAAACGACATTTAAGGTCAGCTAAGGCTATTGACATAATGAGCACCACCCCAAAAACCTCACATGGACGATTGATGGGGCCCAACTGATTTGCATAAAAATAGTGGACGCGTGAGGTTGCTGTTTGCGCTGTATTTTTAATGCACTGCATGCATATAGACATATTATGACTGCATGCATAGCGCTAGCGAAGATATCGTTACCGCGTTACGGCCGGATGAAGGTTGCAGGTTTGGCGGTTTACTTGTTGTCAGCTACTGCTGTCTTCTGTTTTGCTCTTTCCTCCATGAGGCAGTCTGTATGTGGTAGCACAGGCTGCTGTCCACTGGACTTTTCTGTATGTCTGGCCACCTGTACATTGACATTGTTGTGGTTCTCTTTGCTTTGAGATACTTAACAGTCTGGTAGGCACGATACACGGGAATATCCAAGCGATTTGTCTTTGCATTTATCAGATGATTCATGACGCTGAAAGATTGCTCGATTTTGGGTGCTGTGCAAATGCTGAGTATCACTTGATGATTTTACCAAGAAATGGATATTTCTTTTTTCCAAGTACCTCATTCCACCACCTGTCAAGCTTTACAATATGTCCACCGATTTCAGTTTGATGCAAGGTTCTCTCCAATTGAAGTCGAGATACCTCTTGTTCATATTTATCTATCTCATCATCATTCTGCAGTACAGTTGCAAAATGCCGAGGGTGTTTCTTCAGCACTGAGAAGGTGACGGCAAATCCCATAGCTTTGAGATCTGTTGCAGATACAGTCTATTGCAGTCTACGCAGCAGTTGATTACCAAGTGGCATCTTATTCAGTAGATAATCCCCTGTTGCTACATATGCGACTTTCAATTTAAGAATAAACTGATTTGCTTGGGACTTGTGCAGTTTACTCATGCATTTCCTTGCTCTACTATCAGTATACAAATCTGTTATTGGAAGGAGACACTCTGTTAGTTTGATTGTTTTCAGCGCATGATCTTCTGATTTCCTTCACTCTTGACACGCATGATTCGGGTAGATGTGAAACATGAATGTCGATGAGTTCCTTGTTTGCACGATAATTATCCTTGGAAATGTATGCAAAATACATGCAAAGAATAGCTGGTAGCATGAAAAGTATGTCACTGGAAACATCAAGGACAGAAAGCCAGCGATGTGGTATTCGCTCTTTTGGTGTGTGAAATGGGCAGCTGAAGATTTCACACAGTTCCTGTAGCCATGCCTTCAAATCTGCAGACCACTTGCTGTCATTGTGCAAATCATCACATAACTGTTCAACGGTGTGATCAAAGTGTGAACAAAATTGTCCCAATCTATGTCAAGCAGGTGAGGTGCTGTTCTCTGACGCAGAAGAGTTTGAAATCCAGACGCTTTGCCTCATGTATTTATGCAGCCGAGTCAGACAACACTGATACAAGGTTGGTGAACGAAATGTTGTGTTCTTCAAAAACATCACAAACTGCTTCATACACAATCTCTGCATTTACACTTTAAGTGAAACAGAAGCCAGGGGATATAAAACTGTGGACTTCTCTTCCTCTGAAAAGTACAACACAAGGATACTCCGGACTTTCACATTATTTTTTGCAGTGCACTCATCCAAGTTAATTGAGAATGGAACCTACTTTATATTATTAGTCAATCTTTCATGCCGGACTTCTGCTATGGGAAGCCGGCGTCAGTGTTGTTGGACTTACCGGTACGTCAGTCTTGAAAGTATTGACGAAATTTTTCACCAATTATTTTTTCTAGTATTATATATGAAGGAAATTATCGTCTTGCGTTTTTGGTTATTTCCATTTTTAATTTTTTCCAGGTGATGGCCTAAATGCTAACATTACTCTAGTCAAACTTCTTGGCGTTGAACTGGATATACCTCGCCAAATGAAAACTATGTTCCCACATCCCTGCACCTGCAGCCCAACTACCAATGTGTTTGGATGCCTGCCACATGGTGAAGCTGATGAGAAATCTCTTGGCTTCAAGGAAAGTTCTGCAGGACGGAGAAATCGACTCGTCCAGTAGGTCGGATTTTATGATCAAAGGATATTAATAATGATGATAGGTATTGAGGATTCTGCATCAATAATTGTTCAGATTATGAAAATGTTGTATCTTATACATTTCTTTCTATGTAATTTCCATTTCAAGTAGACCCTGCCAAAAGTAAAGGTCAAAAGCTTCTCCATTACTAGGTAAGAAGGTGCCATCAGCAGGACGAGCCTCAAAAGTGAAGAGAAGAGACAGTCGCTACTACCAAAAGTCACCGGAACAACTAGAGGCTGTTAGAAGAGTAGTGAAGGAAACCGTTGAAGATGCAATTGACATCAAAAAAAACTGCAGCGAAATATGTCCTTCAGTACCACTATTTGTAGAGGAGAGTTAAATGAACCAGGGAAGTAGGAATGGCCTGGATCATGTCCTTAGCGCAGACGAGGAGAATATCCTTGTCCATTTTGTTTCTGAAATGGCCCTCAGAGGTATGGGAATAAATCCTTCAGATGTCATGGACCTTTTGCAGAATTCCTCAAGCAGGAAAAGAGGAAAACCGTGTTTCACAACAACCGACCAGGGTATACATGGTTTTATTCCTTCAGTGCTAGACATGGCCTTGCACTTCGAAAGGGATCTTCCTTGGAAGCCAGCAGGGCAAAGGTCAATCCAGCCAGATACAAAAGGTTCATGTCCGACAGGAATCTTTTGGACCAACCACACCAAGTTTGGAATGCAGATTAGACTGGCTTCACCATCGGCAGCAAGACCGCTAATATCAAGGCACCAGAGATGTCAGGTCATCCTGTTTCCCAGCTGTTAGGTAGGTCCCTTAAGAATAGATTCACAGTGATGTATTGTGCACATGCAGAAGGTGTGATAATTCTTCCATTCATCTGATTTTCAAACTAAAACCCACGGGATATGATCCACTTGATGGAGCCACAAGAGGGGCTTGTTCTGAATATACCGACAAGGGATTGATAGACGCTCGTACGTTTGCTTAATTCATCGATCATTTTGACAAACCATATCAACACATTCAGGAAAGCTGTCTTTGGACCTCTTAAAAAGCAATGGTATAATGTGGTCAACCGGAACACGAGACGTCAACCAGGGAAGCCAATCTGTAAAAGGAACTTTGCAGCCTAGCTTGCGGAAGCGCAAGTAGAGTTCTACAAGCCCAGCATCGTCATCAATAGTGTCAAGCATCAGGTATTTTCCCTGTAGACAAAAGTGTCATCTGTTATGATTTGCTTAAGCCTTCAATGACATTCAAGGGATTGGTAGACTCACACCAAAGACCAACTCCGAAAGGGTCCAGCAAAGATCACAGCAGGGCTACACACGCTACAGAAGCATTTCATTTTAACAAGTTGTGTATATTTCTATATAACATGATGATTGCTCCATCTTTGATTTGTTATCTTTAAAGTTTTCCATTTTTCGTGTACAGTGCACCTCATTTTTGTTTTCAAAGGTCTTATCTCGATATACTTTGTGTAGATTGCATTAGTTTCTTTAATTCAAAAAGTATCATAGTTTTCTTTGCAGTGTAAAAAATCATTCGTATTTCATGCCTTATTGCTTCACCTCAATTAATTTTATTAACTCTTAACGTTTTTTGGGGTTACATTTTACATCATTTTTCTTTATTTTTTTTGACCTCCCCCAAATTTTTAAAGTTAATTCATTTCCTCCATTTTTCTTTAATTTAATATGTTCGGGATGAGTTTTTGTCTCGTTGGTTAACATGCATGTACAAGAATGCTGCATACTTTTGGCAAAAACCCATGAAGTTGGGGAACCCGTACCACTATAAATTAAAGAGGCTATAAATTAAAGAGGCTATAAAGACAAATGGGTGTAGTTGTAACTCAGTACAATATGACGTAGAAGACACAGCAGCAATTAAAACGGTGGCTGGGTGAGGATCAATTGCTACATTCAAGGAAAGCATTAAAAGTGTACTATAATCATGTCCACCTTTTCTTAAATAGATGACTGAGGTCAGTGAGACCATCAGCGAAGCCGTTGGGTTTGCGCTGCTCCATATGGACAGCGCATACCCAGCGCTCCGCCTTGAGTCTCGGCGCAGACTAACAATATTAAGGGAGGGGTCCCCAAAAACCCTCAACAAAATGTCAGCTGACCTCCGGCGCACCTCAGGTTAGTTCCGGGGGTTAGTTGTATATATTTCATGTATTTTTCTGCTACCGTGATTCATTGATTCGGTGTTTGGTTGATTTTGACTTTCCCTGTCGTGTTAAAGACATACTGTATCATTACACTATTTTCCTTAGGCCCATCAACGCTAATACGGTGATCAGCAAGAGGTGATATTTCTACAGCAAAGTGAAAAAAATAATCGCTTGCGATCAATATATTTCATTGTTCTAGAGAGGCCCAGGCCATATCATGTGCCCCATCCTGCCACCGCCCCTAACCGATCTTCCCCAGGGGCTGGTGCCGGTGCCAGGGGCCGGTGCTCATTGTTTTGTGGCATCAATAATAGAGGTTAGAATTGTTTAATTGAACTCATTTAAAATTGATGTTGTTTAGTATAATTATTGCTTGCCTAATATCACATATACATATCCGATGATACGATCGCAATCATTTCAGTCTTGATCTAAAAGAAAAGAGAGAAATGAGAGCGTTGCAAAAATGTTAGAGTATAGACAAAGGAAAGGGAAGAGAAACAATAGAAAGTCCTCGATTTACGCCATAATAGTGCTCATCTTGATTTGTTCAATAACATCACACTCTGAAACTTTCCTAACAGCACAAGAAAAGGATATTGGCTTAATCATGGCAGCCGGCTACAACCCATCAGAATTAGCAGGTCAGTCAAATCATTGTTAAATCAACGTCTTTTGTGTGTTGCAGGGCGTTATCTGTGAGCCAACTAGATTCGCACGATGAATACAAATTGATGCAACAATAATCACGCCGTCTTTTCCAAAGTTAGTTATCACAGATTATTAAATGCGAATGTTCTTGTGCATGTTTTGGTAAATTACCTAATTTTTTCGAAATTGACGGAAGGCTGTATGGGTAAGAAAAAAAAAACAATTCCGCTTTGCATTAAATCACATAGAGTGTTGGTGTGATTGTTTGCGTTGCCCTTTTGCCTCCATCTTGTTTTTATAATACTGCATTTTGTGAGAGCTGTGATAGTTTTGATAAAAAAGTGTCGCACAAATTAAGGTAAGCAAGAACAAAAGAAGAAACACACGAGGCGCCTCAAAAATTACTTTTGCTCATCCTACCAATAACTATTGTTTTACTTTCTATTTCCATTAACACAGAATTGCTAGGATACTCTACAATCGGACCAAATCAGACAGAGGAAGAGATGGAAGTTGAAGAGGAAAAGAAAAAGGAGGAGGGGATGGGGAGTGCCACATCAAAATAGAAGCAGACGAGGACAGGGAAAGGAGGGACGGGAAAATAGTAGACAAATACTATCAGAGTAATATGGGTGGAATATTAATTATCGCAAGGCAAAAGCTGGACCTTTCCAACAGGAAATATCAAGATTTTGCCGAGCAATGATATTCCTACCATTTCGCAATTCAAAGATATAGTCAATCATTTGTAATTTGTGCATTTTATTCGTTTAAACAAACTTTCCCATAATCTAAAGAAGGGTGCTGAACAACTAACCTAATAACGTTTCAGCTCAGCTTCAACGGTATATTCCGAGAAAAACAACATTCTTGGATCTCGATTTCAAATAAAAAATGGCTCAGTTGTGTTTTCAATTGGGCCTAAATTCAGCCGTCCGAAATACGTTCTCACTGGGCCACTTGCAGCTACGCGATGTCGATGTCGCGCACTGATCCGACGACGTGGCCACTCCTTGAGATTTGGACTAGACCTTGGGAACTTGGGAATGTTTATTAAAATGTCACCAAACTCTTCAGATTTTTTTGTGTAAACCACGATTACTTTTGATTACTTTGGCTTAATAATGTAAACCACAAACAATCTGGCGTTTGGATCTGCGGATTCTGCGCTACGATGCATGCATGCCACGGGCGCAGTCGCGCCCGTTGAGGATGGTGCGCAGCTCCTTTGTAAACGTCATTACTGGTGGAGCATTTTTTTGTAATAATTGTTTTTGTTGCCACTACTTGGGATTTCACCCAAGAACCTCGGATTTTTGGTGGAAAATGTAGCAAATTCTATATGATTTTAGGCTACCGCGTGCTCTGTTGAAATACATTTTGCATTTTGTACACTGTGTTTCTTTATCTTGGAATTTCTTGGGATCTTACTGAATGAATCTTGGGATTTTCAATTTTGATAAGTGGACACGTAGCAACCGCGCGCGAATGTGTGTCGTGCTTGCGCCGTTTCTAATTCTCGCCGGAAATAAAAACCCGAATTACTTACAAAAATGTTGCCTTCTATTTTATATTTCTTCAAAATGACAGCGTGCCAGAAAGAACAATTTCACAGGGAATTTTAGTTCCTTTACTATCTTTCATCAAAGTATGTTTTTCCCACGATACTTACGTCAGTTACTTTCTGGATAACCGCAAATGAAGGACTGTAGCTTTAAAAACCACTTCTCCTTCTCTTATTTGAACTAAATACAAAGTTGGTGGAATATATATTTCTCTCTTCAGTCAGTGGCCGTGTAACGCACAGAGCCCTGTTTGACCTGAATCCGACAAACTGACGAAAAGCATTCGTTTGTACTCTGAACACACACCTTATATAAGCTGGTTACCAGCGAAACATTTGTACGTTATTCGTCAGTCTGTCGGATCGCCTGTGCATGCGTGCGCAATCGGACAACCTGACGAATGACATTCGTTGGTATTTTGAACGCACACCTTACATAAGCTGATTACCAGCGAAATTCCGCCTTCTTCACTATGTCAAATTACGGGTTTGTTTTTGTGACTAATTCACCACAAAGGGGGGGGGGGGCTCCGAATCTCAAAATTCAGACAAGAATTAAGAATTTTGGCATAAAACAGTTTTGTTATTAATGCTACCCTAGCCTGAAGGAGTTGACTTGCATAGATCAGGTGAACGTTTCCACTTTTCCAAAGGTTTTTGTGTGTTTTTTGTATCTGGCAGTCAACACAGCAATGTAAGGAAGCGTTAAAGAAACGTAAGACAATCTACAAAATAGTCATGAGTATGATTTATAATTTAGTCATAATTATGACTTATATCTTATAATAATGACTTAGTATGAAGTCATAATTATGAAATTTATCTCATAATAACGACTTAGTAATTGTTAAATCATAATTATGACATATCGTCACCGTTTTCACGAAGAGCCACATATCTCCAAAATTACAATTTTTTCGATTTTGATTTTTTTCGATATTTCGCATTAAAACAATGTACTTAACCATTTTGACATGTTTCTGTAAGCAAAACATCATTAATTTCTAAGTTACATTAATGTTGCAAGGGGCAGAAATCTCGATAACTGCATTTTGCGTTTTCACGAAGAGCCACATACATTTTGGCCCTTTGAACACGTACAAAACCCATTGCACGGAAATACGTAAAAGTAGGTCAAATGAGATTTGCGGTTTCACGAAGAGCCACATATCTTTGTTACATTTTCAGGCGCGCGCGCGTACTCACGCGCGCCTATGGAAATACACGTTGAACAGAAGGGGCCAATATGTCGGAAACGTGAATTTGCGTTTTCACAAAGAGCCACATATCTTTACTAATTAATTTCCACTAATTAACTGCTTTATTAAGTCTTGTTACCGGGTTTATGTAAAACTTCAGCTCACGTAGAATCGTGTAATGGTTTTCTTGCTGCACAAAGTTGTTGCAAAGTAGTATTTCTTGCAGTTTTAAAATATGAGAAACTTCTTTTGTGATTATCTCGAAAACACTTTACTTCAAAATCAACATAATATATATAGTATGTGGCTGTTCGTGAAAACGGTGACGATATCTTATAAAAACGACGTAGTATTAAAGGGAATATACAACATTTGCAAACATCGAAAAATAAAACTACCAAGTTTTTGCGAAATACCTTAATAGGATGTTGGTAAATGACAGTCTAAAGCATCCTGTAAAATTATGGCACCTGGTATACTTTCATTTTCAAGAAAAGTGGTATTTTTGTATCAATTTCCAACGCTGATCGGCCGATCAGCGTTGGAAACAACTGGCTTTTTTTTTCAAATACTGGCCCCACTTGACCATTGCGCTTGTTTGCAATCGATTACAAACCTATGAACGGGTACGAGCCAGCTAGACTGGTTCCCTGACCTTACAATTCCCCAATGTATGTAAACTGCTCAATTTCTTCTTATATGGAGTCAGGGAACCAGACTACAGGAAAATGATCGTTTTTCTTGGTTTTTATAGCATTTTCGAACCCAAAACCTCCAAAAAGTCAGTGTAACTATATTTGCTTTATATTTCCAACCCCCCAATTCCATCCATTTCTGAAAATTACAGCAAAAGCAAATGATGTATATTCCCTTTAAGTCATAATTATGACTGGGTATTAGGTCATTATTATGAAATATCCTAAGTCATTATTAAAACAAAATAAGTCAAAACTATGAGATGACTTTATTGGGTTTTTTAGTTTGTTTTATGTCCCTTTAATGCTTCCGTAGCAATGGGATAACAATTTTATATCAAATTAACGTTGTACGAATAAACAACAGCCTATCTTTAAAGAATAGTATACAAATATTGAGTGGATCAGCGTGGAATGGGGGTAATATTATCGCAAGGTAAAATCTGGACTTTTCCATTTCACGAGGCGAAGCCGAGTGAACTAGAAAAGTCAAGATTTTACCGAGCGCTAATATTCCTCACATTTCACAATTTTAAGCCACTCAATATTTGTCTTATATAACTGACATATAGATCCTTGACATTTGATATATTCAAACTTTTTATTCAATACAAAACTGGAGGAAAATGTATTTGTCTCTTCCAAACCACCCTTTGACGAAAATGTTTGAACCCAACGCTGTAACGCTGGCTCTTTGGAACAATACATGCTACGCACAATGCTGAACGCGCACACCAGCATGCATTTGCAAACAAATACCGCGTCATGATTGTAACTGTTGAATAGTATTTCCCATTCCCCATGGGCGGATAGTACTTTTTGAGCCGCGGCGTGAATGGGAGCAAAAACAAATGTCACGTGATGTGAGTTCCACCAATCAAATGACTAGGATCTGTGTGTAAGTTATATAATAATAACTGATATATTGTGGTTTAACACTGTAAAACAAAATGATTGCAATGACGAAACGTATCTGAATATCGAATTTCTTACTCAATATTATGACAAATGGAAAGGCTCTTACAAATTAACGATACATCTGTTTAGTATGCTTACATTAAGTATGTATAAAGTTAAAAAAAAAAAAAGAACAATGGTAACTAAAAATGAGCTAACATGCACGGTTGCTGCTGCACGCAGAAAACAAGAAACCAACGATTTAATTGTTTTTGTGTGTGTAGAATGGTGAAGAAATGATAATAGACGCAGACGAGGAGGGGGAAGGGAGGGATATAAGAATAGAAGCAGACAGAGAAACTGGGGCGGGGGGGGGGGGGGGGCAAGGACATCCCAGGGGAACAACTTGGGGGGGGGGGGGAGGGCCTGCAACTTATTATTTTTTTTTATATATATGGATGTAAATACATGTTAAAACTGAAACACAAACCACAAGGAGTCACAATCAAGTTATTACTGAATCTTACCCCTCCCCCCAAAAAACCAACTGTTTTGTTGTGCTTTCCGGAAAAAAAAGCATACGTGACTACAGTGACTGCACAGGCATATTCATTTTGCAGTCGCCTGAGCAACCACCTGCACCACTGTAGCCGGCCAATGGAGCTGAGGGCGATCACATTGTCCAGTAGGGGTGAATATCATTTTTTTGAAAACCAGTCCGCCGAAACTTCAAACTTGGCACAAAATTTGACGTGAGTGTGCGTTCATCCAGTGAAAACAACATCATTGAATCGCGTGCGTAGTTTGCAAGAGCAGTTCTTAAAAACTCTGCAAGCATGCAACTAATACCAGCGGCAAAGCAATGTGCGCTTCCCTAATTTTTCATGAATAAAAAGAGTAAAATTGAGTTGAAAATTCCTCAGCCACACTGAGTTTCTCCAAATCGTCACCGACACCATGAAGTAACACTCTTCCGTAATAAACCATATTTTTTTCGATTTTCATTTTTTTAATATTTTTAAACAATATTCATCAAGGCCTACCATTGCAAGAAGTTTCAAAGTTTCAAGAGCTTTACTTTAATAATTGCGCTTTAGTATCTATGGCAACTTTTGCACAAAAGTGTCAATTGTCGTTTTCACGAAGTAACACTTAAGTGTCATTTACCATTGTAATGCATGACGCACACTCTGCTAATAAGTGAGCAAAAACGTTTTCACGAAGTAACACTCTTCTTGTAATAAGTTGTATGAGCGCGCGCGTGCTGACCTGAAGTTGCACTTTCCTCGTGTTGTATACATTGAAGTGTTACTTCGTGAAAACGAAAATTTCCAGTTTCGCAGCCTTTTCGGTTTCATGAACTAACACTCATCTTTTTCTCTTATTTCTTGTTTATACACAAACGGGTGAAAAAACAGCAGATTTAATCAATTCATCAGGTGTCCACAACGAGAAACCCAATTGCAAATACTCTGTCGTTTTGACGCAAAGTGTTGTTTTAGAAGGCGTTCAACTTTAGTTGCCGCTTTCTCCGATTGCTGGTTTTTACTGGTATGTAGGTGAGTGTTACTTTGAAGTTACTACAAGAATTGTAGATTTGTTGCCCTTTTTTCGGATGGCTCTACTGACAGCTCAGTCAAAGAAGAAGAAATTGTGTACCTTCGCACAGCAAGCCAGGGGGTCATAAGCAATGATTTTGTTGGTCTCGCTGGTTTAGAGAAGGCTGATGCACAGAACATCTGCAGTGGGGTTCTGAAATGCTGCCAAGACCATCTAAGCTTAGGTGAACATGAGTTGATGTCCAAGATGGTTGGATTTGAAAGTGACGGTGCCAGTGTCATGCTTGGATGTAACAGTGGTGTGTCAACCCTTCTAAAACAAAAGCAAAGGGCCATACTAGAGTATGACTCTGACATTCTTCAGTCAGTACACTGCTTCAACCATCGTCTGGAGTTGGGCTACAAGGACACACTCAAGAAGGTAGCGTACCAGGAGAAAGTACAGAGCTTGCTCGAAAACCTGTATAAGGCTGCATCCGAATCAGCTGTCTAGAGCTAGATCTAGGTCTGCCCCCATTGAAAATACGCGGGGATGCGCTGACAATAGACGTAGCCGTAGCTCTGGAAGCCCGTTTCGGACACGGCCTAAGGTCTACCACTACAGTCATTTGAACCGGAGTATGTTGAAGAGAAGCTGTGATTCCTTGGGTGTTAAATTCCTGGCTCCTTCAAAAGCTGGTAGCACACGCTGGTTGCCACACATGCAACGGGCACTTGACAACCTGTGGGTGACATACCCAGCCATTGTCCAGCACTGTCAGCAGCTTCAAAATGCAAGTGATGTTGGTGACAAGGTGAAAGAAGAAACAAAGGCCAAGGCAAAGGGCTTCTTGGATTTGATGTTGACAAAGCGTTTTGTGTTGTTTTGTCACTTCTTGACAGATGTTGTTTTAACACTGAGCAAACTGTCGCTTAAATTTCAGAGTTCTGAAATGTACTCAGCAGCTTCCATGAAGGACGAAGTGGAACTAGTTATCAGCTATCTTGATGCATATAGACCCAATCCTGGGCCATAGGTTTCTGACCTTGAAGTACATGGAGTCAACACATTCCTTCAATCCTCTGGCAGGCTGAGAGATACAGACCATTCTACTGAAGCCTTTCATAAGGATAAGTTAGCTTTGATTGATGGATTGCAGAGTTCACTGCAGAACCGGTTTGCTGACTGCAACTCAGGAATCATACAATCTCTGGCATTCATCAATCTGAAAGGATGGCCTGAGATGGATGATTGGAAATGATGCCATTGCCCTACAACTTGATCATTATCGGCCCATACTTCAAAATTCCATAAATGTTGAGGAAGCTGAGGAGGAATGGCATTCTCTGAAAATAAAATATACCAGACAACGCCAAGACCCCGAGAAGAGACCGAGCTGGGAGGAACTGCACATCGCATTCAAGGAAGAATGTGCAAACATACTTCCTTTGGTGGATTTGGCCCTAACTTTGCCAGCGTCAAATACACGATGCGAACGTGGATTCTCACATATGAAAATTGTTAAATCAGACTGGCGCAGCAGCCTAACAGTCTCTGCCTTAATTGACATACTGCGCATTGTGCTCCAGACCAATGATATTGGGGACTATGACCCTACTGATGCAGTTGTAATGTGGCTGGAAGGGGGCAAAAAGTCAAAACGGCCATACATCCGTCCATACGGTAGACGCCATCCAAGGGAAGCCTCATCATCTCAGAACGATGACAACTTAAGTTCATGTTCTAGCGAAAGTGATGATGACTAATTCAAATTGAATTGAACATACAGCTTTTTTCTGACAATTTATTTGCCACTTGTATTGCAAAGAGTGCAGTTTTAGCATAAATGCAAATATTCCAAAGGAATAACATTCACGTATTTATTTTAATAAATTTTTCGCATTTTGATTTTATTTATATATGGCGTCTACCGTATAGACGGATGTATCACCTTTACTTAAAGGGAAATACAACATTTGCGAACATCGAAAAATAACTATCAAGTTTTTACGAAATACCTTACTAGGATGTTGGTAAATGACAGTCTAAAGCATCCAGTAAAATTATGGCAACTGGTTAGAAAAACGTAACTATATTTCATACACTGCTCCAAATTTTGTTTGCTATTGGTTACTTGTCCATGAACGGGTGTAGGCCAGCTACACTGGTTCCATTACCTTACAATTTTTCCGGCATCTATAAATTGATCAATTTTATCAGGGAATCAGACCATTTGAATATTTTTGTTTTTCTTGGTTTTTCCAGCATTTTCGAACACAAAACTTCAAAAATGTCAGTGTAACAATATTTGATCTACATGTAATATACCAACCTCATGGCATATGGTTCATTTCTGAAAATTACAGCCATACCCAAAGATGTACATTCCCTTTAACTGTTATTTATAACTACAGAAAAAGATTGATTCGAAACAGCATTCAATTTATTTATTATTTTACAATTTTATGGTTATACAATTTATAATCTTCATTTCATTGAGGCACTTGGAATCTTTATATAGCTTTATATGTGTCTGTTATTTTCACAAGAAGTTTATTATTTAATACACAACTGTGTATCACAATTAAGACAATAAAAGGATCAGGTTGAATCATTGATTTGCATATGTACATGTTCAACTTTAATATTCATTTATGCACATTGTACCTTTTTGTTTTGCCCTTCTGACATTTTATAAGCATGTTCTTTCTGCTTCTTCTCAATCTAAGAAGCACAGAGTACACCCGGCTAATGCAATGTAGGGTGGGTCGAAACACTTTTAATTTATTGTTGTTTTAGTATTGTTGCCAAAAAGGTACATGACTTCATTTGAAATAATATTCATTTGCCATTTAGAAATTCTAAACTTCATTTGACCTCAACCTATACAAAATAAATAGCATTTTGCTGTATTCATGTCACATAGTGCAAAATGTTGTTTTTTATTATTTATGACACAGGTCTTGTAAAAATAGTTCAGGTCCAGTAAGATTCTTCAGCTGCTAGACCTGCTGTCTAGTGCGTTTTTTTTCATGAAATTTGAGCCCTGTTACTCTGACGTCATTATCACGTCATTGGGTGTCAAATTACAAGCAATGAACAAAGGATCAATTGAGTTCCAACCTTGTAATCAGACCATTAATTGACAAACATTTCATGTTATGTACTTTAACTCCCTTGACCTTGTCCTCTGGTTCTACCGGAAAGTCAAAGTTAGGTGAATATAAATGTAGACATCAGCCTGAAATCAAAACAAAGCACACTTTCTTCCGAACGGTTTACGGTATGATCATAAAACCTAGTGCGAACTTGTACCATGCTACGAAAATGTTATATATTTTGTTACGTAATCATGACGTCATCAGGTATCAAATTAAAAGCAATTTGATGGCACGATTTGACAAAATAGTTTGACCTATATCTCTTGAACTAAATATCTTGTTAATTTTTTTCGTGAGGTTGTAGACTATGCCGTGAGCAACATTTGTTCCCGGGAACAAAACTGCTTGACCTTCAATTTCGGTGTTACCAGAAGAGCAATAGAAATTGAATCCAACTCTAAAACGGACACATTTTACTACAGACAAATTCATTATGGAACTTGGAAGTGTTAAGTGAGGAATGCCAAACACAAAAACATAATTTTGACATCATCCCCAAAATGGCACCTTCTAACGGCACATCAAAAACAGTTTAATCTTTTGAAATCTTAAAACCCTCGATAAGTTTTTTGTATGAAATTGCCCCCTTGTGTCCCGCGAGCAACAACAAATGAATTTCCAATGTTTTATAATCATAACGTCTTCAGACCGGAAGTAATTGCAGGGCGAATTCAACAATAATCATTTTATTTTCATTTAAATCCATCATTGATCCCTCTCTCATGACTTTGGTTTTTTTTGGCCCCAAAATGACATCTGTTACTCTTAATATTGACCTTTGCTTCCAAATACCGTGACGTCATCAAACCGGAAGTTGGGTGTTATTATCACATACACTTAATTTCCATATTTCCATGCGTTAATTTTACTTAATGATAAACACGTGACTTCCCTTCCCTTTATTGACTGATGACGTCATCAAACCGGAAATATCTTGAACGTGTACCTAAATGTTTAATGAATTTGTTCATACGCACAGAATGTGCCTGGAAATATCTTGTAATCATACTGCGTGTTTTCTCCTAACTCGACATCCGCGTTGTCAAAACATTCCGTTCGTGCGGTGATACACATAACCAACCCTTGCGCCTATCACTATTCCAAAATACATTGCGATCGGTCAATGTTAACCACCGGCATTTGGGCAATAACTTTTTGTTGACTAATCAGAACTTCTCTATAAAACGTACAACTTCCTATATTCTTCTTCTTATCGAGTCCACGTCACAAAGCTAAATTCGGTTTAGCCAACGCCGAACACATTTCTCTGCATCTTCATTGTACAATGCAAGGTCGGCAGCTGTGCAAGGGTATTGTAGAAGAGGGCATCTCAAAAGGTGCTTCATAGTTTGTGGCTCTACGCCACAATCACACATGGTATCATTGGAGGAACTATATCCCCACTTGTTGAGTGTCACCTTGGCTCTGCCAACTTCAGTTCTCAGTCTGTTGAGGCATTTCCACTTTGCCCAGCTTACGTCTGCACCAGGTGGTAGTTGCTCTCTAGCCATCAGCCCCATGGTTGCCGAGGGTGGCAAACTGTTGTTTCTGTTTGCCCACATGGTGACTCGTGCCTCGCTTGTTGTGTCATCCTCAAGAGGAACTACACATTTCAGAAAGCTCTTCCTTGCCTATATTGATCACACACGTTTGTGGCCGTGTGTGAAGGGTGCGCGCGCGCGCATAGGAGCATGCATGGGATGTATACATTTCTGTGTGCATATGTTCTATGAGAAATTTAGTCATATAATTACAGTACGAAAATGGGCAGGTCTGCTAAAACGAGAAAAAATAATCCCCTAAATCTTAATTGTACTCTTTAACAGTAAAAAAAAACCCTACTTATTTGCTTGACATTGATCATTTTGAATTAACCTCAATATCTAGCACTAACCAGCAATTTGAATACTAACGTCTGAAACTGTGGGTCTAGGCTGTTGCGGTACAGAATTGACGAACTTTTCGCATTGTGCTGATGCTGTCTGCTGTTCAAAAATCAAATCTCCCGAACAAGAGAGAATCCTCTTCTTGTGAGGCAAACTGTTGGTATCTGCCGACAATACCATGGTGAAATTACAGCAAAACAAAAAATAAAAAGTAAAGGGAAAGTAGGAATTGGAATAATATTCTCACGCAAAACTGTGCCATAGCCGCATGACTCATTAGGTAGACAAGTTTTCTTTCCCTAAAATCACACGTTTTATCTGGTTTAACTTTCATATTAAAACATAATATTTAACCCTGTATAGTTCAAGGCTCAAGGACAGGTTGGCTACGTACTGACTGGTAAAAATTGGCAGATATTAAATTATTATTTTTTTGTTGGTTTTCGTTGGCTGGCGTTCTTTCTTCGCATTTCATGCCGTCTAGAACAAAACTGATAGAGGTCCTCCATTTTGTCCATCTCTTCTGCTCCTTCCTGTCTTCCCTTCTCAACCTCCGTTACTCATCTTCATCATCCACTTCCTCCTCACGATATTTTCATAAACTGAAGTTTTGACTTATGTAAATGTTTCATTATTATAAATTTTTGTTTTTATGTGCACATTTGGAAGAAGAATTTAACTTTTAAAGTCTTTTAATTGTGATGAAATAAAGTATTGTATTGTATCCCTCCATATCCTCCACTTTATCCTCTTCCTTTTCATCCTCCTTTCCGACCTCCTCTTCATACTTGGCCTCCTCCTCCTCTTCGTAGCACTTCTGTGCCACTCGTTTTCCCTTAACAAAGATAAATTGAATAATTTCTAAACTCAAGTAAACTCCGGCCAAATTGACGTTGCATAATCGCCATATCGCCTAAATCAGCCGTCTGACGAAAGTCTTGATTTTTTTTTTAAAGCATTTCCATTGAAATTTCATTTTTAAGTCGGCCTTTGTAAGTCGTCATTTCACCCAAGTCGGTGTATTCTTTCGTTCCCATTTCCTCAAAACCACAAAATGTCCTCCTTGTAAGTCGGCATCCCAAAAAATACACCACCGTAGTGCGCGTGTGCACAATCAAAAAGAGATTTCCCCGCTACGATGAGCACATGCGCTCTGTCCATTTTGGGGTACACAAGTACCCCCTCTATATAGGCTGTAGTCCTGCACGCATGCACTTTTGTACATTTTGGGGGTCCCCTTATAACTTTACCAGTTCAGGTATATACATGTACCATGCACGCACGCATTCTTTCGTATTACACGTACATAGTACATGTACGATAGTGCTCGCGTTTAGCCGGAGTTTAGACACATGTACCATGCACGCACGCATTCTTCGCATTACACGTACATAGTACATGTACGATAGCGCTGGCGTTTGGCCGGAGTTTACTGTATATGTAGACAGTGCATGTGTGACACTTAACAATCTGCATTTGCATGCAAAGCAATTTTTGGTCATAAAGTTGTGTCAATGCACAATCTGGTTTAACTTTCATATTAAATCATAATATTTAACCCTGTAGGGTTCAACGCTCAAGGACAGGTTGGATACGTACCGACTGTTAAAAAAAAGGCAAATAAATAGAACTATACTGTCCTCCATTTCGTCCATTTCTTCTGCTCCTTCCCCTCTCCCTTTCTCATCCTCTCCAACCTCCTCTTCATCCTCCACTTCCCAGGCGCGGTTTTAGAGCCAATATTGAATTTGGTTTTTTTTGGGGGGGGGGGGGGAGCTAGCAAGGTGGATCCAGAATGTTTTTCAGGGAGGCGTGCTGAAATGTAGACCCGTTATTTTTTTCCCAGACACTTAGTCCTCTGAAAATCAATACGTGAAGGGGAAGGGGGCTCGTGCCATATTTTCAATAGGGAGCGCTGATAAAATACTACAATCAGGCTTACCATATTAACTAAATGTGTACAAATGAACCCTTCGCATTTAGGGGGAGACCGTTCCGATGCACGGCGAATTCTTACTTTTTGTGCTAGTGCATTTTTTTAATGGAATTTGTTTTGGTTGGGGGGGGGCTAGACAATGTTCGGGTTTTTTTTTTTTGGGGGGGGGGGAATCGATTCAGGCCATCGGTATATCTTCTTTTTTGATGCGTGGGCTGATTAGACTAGCGAGGCGGTGGAAGCTTGTGGCATCCATTCGAAGCCACAACCTATACAATAAAGCACACAAAGCATTAACACAGATCACTGATTTGGTTAGAGGCGTACGTTTGTCAGTGAAATATCAAATTCAGTGACTCCGACATTAATAAACCAAAATTGCAAACTCTGGACTTTATACATCCGTCAAAAATTAATGAATCAATTTAAAAAAAATCATTTAAAATTTTTAACAATATGCCTCTGATGTGATCATTACATCGTACATTTTGGTACCAAACACATTTATTTTGATGCTGATTTTCAAACGTGGGAAAGCCGGATCTAGTTTCATTACTTAATTTCTTCGGAACTTTACTTAGGCCTAACCTAAGTCATTTTATAAATGGGTATGGTATTTTTGTTGGTAGCTTTTAAACAAATTCAAGTAAAAAAATGAGCTTATACAAATATTTCTTTAAAAACAATATATTATCAGTGGAGGGGACCAACTCGCAACCCCCGGCAGATTTTGTGACTTTTTTTTCAAGAACTATTGCAATGGCCTTAATGGTTAGAGATTTCTAACATCAATCTCATATTAAAAAGAAAGCCCGCTCAAATTAAAAACATAAATTACAATACGCCGTAAAAATGGGCTTGTAATGTGCAGCATATAGGCATAATAATAGTCAGTTTTAAAGAACACCCCCGTTAGGAAGATGGGTACCCCCCCGCCCAACAACCCTGATCTTTTCTGCAAAGAAGCCAATTTCTTGCACACAATCTCTTTTGAACGGGCTGATTTTCATCCTCCA